TAACTAGAAGTCTAGAATTTGGAACAAATTAATTGCGGAAAAAAGAACAATAAACCCTTCACGATGGAGTAAAATAATGAGGAACGGTTTAAAAAATCTGTACTCTTTTATGTTCTGGGGCATATTTTACATCTTTTTTCATTTTTCACGTTAAAACCTCGAAACACTGTACACATACACAATCTCACGTTACGGTTCTCCCAGTAAAATTTCGTTTCTTTTACACTCGTTGATTCGCTGGTATTACGTTTACATTTTAATCGACAATGATTATTACCTGTTCTCGATAAAGAAACGTTACTTTATATAAAATCGACAGAGATAAAAACGATCAAAGAATTAAAAGCAGACTTCCACTTTAGATACTAAGCAGTCTATAACAGCGAAAGAGAGAGAAGAAAATGGTATGTGAAAAAGTAAACCATTGCATATTTATAGTGGATTAAACAGTTCAGTAGCATCGATTCATTCGTGTCTCTGACAGATTAAACAGTTTGGTACTTGACATCTTGTCCGTATCTCGAACAAACTCGATTTCTCGTTAATTCAAAATGATACGTACACATTTTTATATTTTCATATTTAAATGATCAGGTACATTACTATTTTTCATAATTTATTTTTATTCATAGTCAATTTTAAAATGTTGTCCCATCGCTTCGCTTTGAAGCTGAGCTTTTTAAATTATGGATTTTGTTACAATTCTTTGAGGTCGTACAAATGTTTGAAAAGCATGAAATAAATTTTATAATTAAAAATATTTACAATATTTGCAATAAAATGAAATTCCTTTATGGATTTTCACATTGTCGTTTCGAGTTACGTTGGAGGTCTTCAGGATCAACCTTGTTTTAAAAAATTGTTTAATAATTATTCTTATGGGTTACAATCTTAATTTTTACGTTATTATATCGCTAATGTATTTTTAACTGTAATTTAAGGGCAATTTATTTATTTCTTCGATTTTATCGCAAAAGACGACGCACGCCTATATAAAAACTCTATCAATGCTTTTTATTATTTTAAAGTACGAAAATATTTTGTTAGAATTCTTTCCAGCAAACATAGAATTAAAAGAAAGGTTGGTCGCGGATAAATTATTGTTCCTTTGGCGTTTGAGTGCAACTTCGAACGAATTTCTATGGCGGGCGGACTGATCTTAATTTTTCACACGTCTCGCGTCGATAAATATTGCGCGATGCGGTGGTAAATCGAAATACGGTTCACAGACTGTACAGTAACATTATTGGGAGTAACCGAGTTTACGATTACTTCCATTTCTTCGAGTTTCTCGACCATATCGAAAAATTTTCTTGCGTGTTCGGCTTGTATCTTCGCCATCTTGTATATTGGCTAAACACGCGGCGCTAGAGAGGTATATTACCTTTCTCACGGGTCTCGTTGAGTAAATCTGTTTCAGCCATATCCACAGGTTTCGCGATGCTTCGCAATTCTTTGCTTGTTTTACCGATCCGACCTTCCATTTTCGTCGCCAGACTTTCATGATTACACGGTGGCGTCATTATCGCCTGTGACACTCGGTATTACTGTTCGCTCTTTCGCGTCCTTTCATCGTCTTTTTCCCAACCACATTGCATTTTCCACGTGTCGTAATTCTCACTGGTTAGAGCTTAACCTTTTCGAACCCGCGATTCAAACGCGTTTTTCGCTCGGGTTTCTCTAATTAACCCTTTCATTTCTAAATTATAAACAAGTCAGAGGGAAAAGCATATACGTCTCCGCGCTCGTATTTATTAGACGACGCGTACTCGATTTAAAAAAATAATTCGACGCTCACGACGAATATATTATTCTAGCTGAAAAGAATTAATGCATATACGAGTATTTATGTATTTGAAAATATAGATGACGGGAATATTTTACTTGGTAATTTTAAATACGAAATTACATGTCTATGATGGGAATGTATGTACATTTAAAAATTCTTGTTTCTCACAAAACAAAGTACTCAGGAAGAGTTCGAACGTATCTGAAATTTATTGGTTCAAGATTAATGCCTTTTTTTATATTTTTTATACTCTTTTTACATTATATGTATACTGTATCCTCGTATTATTATTTTTTACAATTTTCTACTTGAAACTTTCTCCAGCCCTAGTTATTTGTTCGTAACGTTTCCCAAAAAATGTGGAAACTGCCGGTTCGCGAGTTGCAAAGAATTCAAATGCTCTCGAAGTTCCTACGATTCGAGAAGTTAAATCGCCTTTGGTGTTCGGACATTCGAAAGATTTCGAGAAGTTCCCCCCGAGGCGATTGTTAAATATAAAATCGCCTAATATGGTGGTGACACGATTGACAAATCGTGTTACAATTACATTCGATCGACAAAAGGGACGAATATCTCGCGTACACAGAGTTCGTACCATAGATTTTATTCGTCCAGTGTGTTCCTTATATTTACGACGTCTGTAAAAATGTCACTGGAAACAAATATAAAGATCAATTCGCGTAATAAATTCCAAGCAAATACAGTTCGCTATCTCCGATACTCTAGCCAATAAAAAAAAATATATATATATACAACAAAACATCAAAAGAAACAGAAAACTCCGAGGAGCAAATTCAAGTCCACAAATCGGTAATAGTCAATTGTAGTAACAGACCGAATCAATTGTAGATTACACTCGGCCCAGGCAATAAGGTCATTCCGCTTCGTTTCATACCGATTGCTCTTCCATTCGCTGCGATATTAACTGCTGAACCCATTTCTGTTTTTCTCTCCTCGTACAATTCGCCTTCTCATATCGAAACTGTTTTTCTGTTTCTTTATTTCTCTTCCCCTTCGACTATCCCCGTTTCCATTCTCTTCCGTTCTCTCGTCAAATGTGCCCGTATTTTTGCGTTTGTCTTCCTTTCGTCTCCCATTCACGTGCCGGTCTATTCAAATTCACTTTGCTGGACTGGCACATTTTATCCGTTTCTGCACGTTCGAAGCAACAACGAACGGGGCTAATTTAAGAAATCAATTAACAATCGTCCTTGGCTAATGGCGACGAGCAACGCGCATCGATACGTCGAATTGTTTTTCAGTTGCGACGCGAAACGAACGGAGGGGTCGATTCAATCATCAGGCCATTTATTTCGAGCCGCCTCGGTCAAATGACGCCCGCAACGATTCGGAGAATATAGAGGCGATGATGGTGAATGGAAAACATTTTACTTTTCGACTTGATAGCGTCTATGCCGCCCACGCTGTCAGGCTGTTGCCCAATTTTAAACCAATATTTTTTAATACGCGTTTCGAAACTGTCCTGCCACCGGGCGAGCTTATTTGCGAAAATGAAAGTGATTGGGCTGAAAAATGAGGCAACATTTTTAAACACATGGGATGCATTCTTAAAATTCATTAAATTACAACCTCAACAATTTAAGTCTTACATAATCATTAAACAAAGGTACACATTTTAATAAATTATCCTATACATATAGGATTTAAATACACAAATATTTCTGAAAGCTGCTTTAATCATATAAATATTATGTTCTTCACACTCCAGCCTTGTTTTTCGTATGATACATACTGTTTACCAGATCAAAAAGCATTTAAATTTAATTACATTTAAAAATTATAAAATTTTCTTGCTTTTGCCTCGATAATTCACGAGTGGCCGACAATGATTCATGGTTGATCGTAGATCGTTAGATAACACCGAGCAATTTCAGGAAGTGGTGGCGATAACTTTGTGACACCCTGATGGACACAAATCGTGATAATCCGATAGACAGTGGCTACGTATCGAACGTTAAAGAGACCCGTTAAGCGTAACAAGAAATTGAATAATTTAGGGTATTATTTCAGCATCGACTTGTTCTTGTCTCGTGTTCCTCACAAATTCAATATGGCGAGGACGCCTGGCGTAAGAACGGACGTGCTAGCAAAAACCCGGTACCAGTAAAATGGCGTCGCGTTACTGCGTCGGATAAGAAGGACTCCCCGGAGATATTTCCAGCCGAAACATTTTATTTGAGCAAAAGCTAACGAGCAGTTCCACCGGGAATCGAAAGCCCTTGATACGTAAAGATAGACAGACTTGGGAAATCCGACCTCGAGAATTGTCAGTTTTATTCGTCCCTTTTATGTCTATCGCTACTTTCCATCCGCCTTGTTTACCGCCTACAATTTTCGTGGGCTAGTCACTCGAGCACAGTATGGTCATGCAATTAGTCGAAATTTACGAGTCCTAGCCGTTCGACTTTCCGACGAGGCCAAGTGTATTTATCACTCAAATTGCTATAAACGTGCCATTTCTCTGGCGGTTCTCGTTCGTGTACAATTTTCAACCTTTGTTATTTGTTTTTACAGTTGCATTGTTATTTATTTCAGCAGACTTGTTTGCTCTGTTTTGTCCTTTACGGCGAGAATATCGAATTTAAACGAATTTTTTTGACGAATGATTTTCACAACAATATAAGGAAAAGGTATGAATATTGAATTATGCACGATATGTCATAACTATGAACTGTTTAGTTCGAAAGTTTTGTGGTCTTCATTGTTCCTTAATCTTAACGAAGTTATATTCTTTCAAGGAGTACCAAAACCATGGAAGTAGATAATAAATCTTTTTCCCTCTTTCCTGAGGGCTCCCTACGACCAAACTTTTCCGAGTTATTCTTTCGATTAATTATCAGAGGAGCGAATTTAAAAGTGTTCAATGTTACGTAATAAGTATTGATTATATCAGCTTTACGGATGCAAGGAAAACGAGACCAATTATCTTTAACGTTTTGACCGTCACGGGTGCTCTTCAGAAATTTATTTAATAAAGAATTATTGATGTGATATTTTAATAATTTAATGCAATACTGATTTCTATTTCATTGTATCTGTACAGTCTATATACTTGATACTTACTAAATTAGAAAAGCATTTGGCTAAAATCTACATTAAAACTAAACTTATATGTATACCCTGTCGATGTTTATATACTAATTATTTCATTATCAATATATATTATATTTTGATATTTTGTTGTTTACAGACAAAGTCGGACGCATTTACTGGGAAAGGAATACACATTACTGTGAGTACACATTTATTTGGTTCAATTATATTGTGCATTGTACGCCAGAAATTGTACAAACCGAGCCAAAATTTTATTAATCTTCCAGGTATAATATCGAAGAATAGCTTAGAATTTATAATAGCGATGAAACCATTTCTCATATTAAAATGGTTAGTAAAACGTGAACAATTAGACTTTTCATAATTTGCATGATTTTTTTACCTCTTTTACCTTTTGTAACAAAGTAAAACGTGTCGAACGTGTTCTTCTGGCGTATTTTACTCAATTATTAAAATTAATAATACGTAATAATCTCTCCGTAAAAATGAATGCCACGTAATTATATACTTTTTCACATTTTCTTTAAACGTATACATGTAGATATATTCTGAAATAAATTGCAATAGCCTTTTACAGCTGTAAAAAAAAATATTACATAGACATTCTCAAAGGATTGTATTGCTATATACAATATTTCGCAATTTCTATAATATGAGACGAAGTTAGAGCAAAGTGCACGACTGACATTTAATTTCAAAATATACAATGCTGCAATATAAATATGCCCGACAAGTGTAGTTAATTATTATATTCTTAATGGAAATTATATTATTAATTCAATGGGTTTTTTCAAGGAGCAAGTACAATTAGAATTTCTGATTAAGTGTTCCATTAATATTTCAGGAAGAGAGATATTGAATAATCCCTTAAATTCCGTTAACATTCGACTATTACATCGTAATACTCTATTATTAAAATTTGATTGACGAGAATGGCGGTTCAATAAAATTAGAGACTTCTCATTTATCAATCCTATAATGCATAATAGACAGCCTACAATGACAATCTCTAGCAAAACGACTCTGGTTCACTGACATTTCGAGCTTGTTTTTACGCACAACGAGAATAATACGCTTTGCAAATTAATAATTTCCCATTACATAGACGTCGTGGACAATAAACAAATTGCACGCGTGTCGTTAGAAGATTGTTGAAAACAACGTAACTATATTAGCTCCATTACTCCAAAGTTTCCATTTGTAATTATCGTCGTCCTGATTGCAGAACCAATTAACGAATATTGATGACATAATGAAATGTTCCAACCGAAAATTACAAATTTCGTAACAAGCATCGATGGTGGAAATTGCGCAAGTAAACTGAACGAGCTGTATGGCACTCGTCTCAAAACCAGGCGAAACGATCGATTTTCGAATTTGCGGTTTTTAGCCGAGTTAGACGGCGCTGCATCAGAAACGATGTGATTTTCCGTGTCTATACGAGCGTCTGATATTCGCGGTTCAGGATATTGGAGGAACTAGAAATTTCAGGGACCGAGCCAGAAATTATTAATGGCCACCGTAACACATCATTTCCTTATTTCCGGATTGCCAGTCGAAGATATTCTCACCTAATGAACTCGATATGAACGCGAATATTACTCTTTCAATTTCTCGCGATATTGGAAAAGTGGATTCTCCTGTTCCCTCGGATCGTCTCCATTTCATATTCAGATCTCTTCAGTCAGAATGCCTTTCTGTAGTTACTCTAGAGATTCTTTTTTCAAATATTCACAATGTTTAAGAAACCGGTAGAGGAATTTTCCACAAGAATTGCACCGATTATCCCGTTACTAATTCGTTAAACTTTGTTTCTCCCTGGTCCTTATTAAAATTTTTTTATTTCGTTTGAAAAATTCACTTCGAATACATGCTCAAATAATTAGATTTTGTTTTAATTAATTGTACCATTTGGTAAAAATAAAACTGTTCGGTTTTAGCGTTTTTTGACGACTGCGTTCGTTACTTTGTTAAAGTTTCGATATTCGGGACACACTAATGACGACTTCACGCGCAGTTTATTGCACAATGAGCGAAACAGGATGTTGTTCGTTTAAGAATAGCATGGTGCGTTTAATTTCAAAACGTTTTCGTGCAAATACAGGCATACGTAGAGTCGTACTTCGATTTAAGGCTGTGAAACGAACAATTTACGACTGCGAGTATTTCGTTTGAATTTTAGCGCAGTTATGGCAAGAATGTTGCGCCATTTATATTCGCGACGTACTCGGCTCTCGAACATGTATTCGTGGTTCGTCCCGATATTACACTGTTCGCGAAACTTCCATGAATTTTAGATAAAAATTTGATCTACTTCAGTTTTTCGTCCCTGCAGTGAATTTTATTTCTGCGCAGGGAAGAGAAATTGCGAGAATAATAAAAACGAATGTCCTGTATCGTTTATATTCGCGTTATCACTGCATGAAAACGTTAGTATATTCCCTCGTTAAGAACAACGAATGGTTTGGAAAAAAAACATTTCTGTAAATCTGTTTGTTTACATTGGAATCTTTATTTGTAGAATTAGGTTGCAAAATAGTAATTCGTAAACTCTTATCCTTCTATTTTTCATTTACTTGTATCTATGTCAAATGAAAAAAATATTTTATACGCTCGTCTTTGATTTTACGAATATCAAAAATGGTGGATTTTCCTTGGAGAGTTCTTAAGAAATTCGACGAAAAATTCAGAATGAAATTACACATTTATTTTGATTGTTAAGCTTCTCAGTGAGAAATGTAAACGTTTACTGGTTAAGAGAAACTAGAAATCCGATTAGCTTTGCACCTTTTGTGCAGAAGTAGAAACTGGATTACTCGTTACTGTTCTGTTTAAAATAAAGACGTAATAATAGGACTAACTTGCATGTATGCTCTTAATACGCAGAATGCAACGCGAATTTTGTATCTTTCCTGACGCTCACAATAGCGGCGCAACACAGTGGCTGCAGCCGCGTGTCTATAACAGCTTGGACAAAATGTAACGTCCTCCTTCGCATAGAAACTACCCTCTTGCGTCTATTTTCCAGCTTCTCTCGGAAAAAGAATCCTATTTGCAGCGGGGGATCAAATTCTTATAAAATTGTGTGAAACGACGGATAACGGAAGTTATCTGGAACCATCGAGTTTCTTCATAATTGCATTCCTTGTATTTATACATTTTCCTACGTTGCGTTATCCAAAGTATTTACCCTCTAAAGATTTATTTCGTTGAAATGAAATCTTCAGAATATCCAAATATGTTTACTTCTTCGACTCGAAGTTTGATAAGATTCTATTAAGATTGCAAGTAAATTCGTTGTTAATATTGTAAAAGATTCAAGTTAGAAACGTACGTTTGATTATCTTGTTATTTTATCATCGAATAAAATTTTCTAAACGTGAGATAAAATTATTAATGTAGTTTATCCCGAAGTTCCATATTTAAAGATTCTAAAAGAAATTATTCCAAGAATCAATTTCAATCAATTCGAATAATTCCTTTAGTTGTAAAGATGGAAGACAATGTATCAAGGTTTCTGTTGCAGATACGTATCCGGGTTACAATGCAAACGAAAGGAACAATGCTATTTTTGAAACACTCATTAGACGCAGTTATGGACCGTAATACTTTTCTTGAGAACCTGGGTAGGGCTGGAAAGTACCAGCTAATTGTCTCCAGAAAGCATTCTAGTCGGACTGCTTTCTGTGGCAATTGACGCACCGTGAGCCTGTGGTAGACGAGAGGACGCAGGATTTATTGGTTGGTTTCCTAGGACAAAGAATTCATTGTGCAATGCCCCAGCGGTAGAACTGGCTGGCGTTGCAAGATTTAGGAAACCATTCGAAATATTTATTGATTTTCCTTTAGTCTCCACGTGCTCGATCCTTCGAGATTGTGTCAATGGACAGTAGAAATCCATTTATACGAACAGATCGGGGCTAACTAGGTAGCTCGGTTAACAAGAGTCTACGGGATTATCCCTTCTACTACTGTTTATTGATTCGTATACCTAATAGGAGCTAAACAACATGTTCGGCGAACCATGTACCGTGACGACGTTAGCTCCGATTAATGGAGTTCTAGTGTAGTTTGGTCAAGAATAATGATAATTTAAAATTTATTGCGACCCTTTAAACGACGAGTTTCGTACGACTTGTCTGTGCAAACTTCAACTTTGATCATTTTTTACATAAATTAAAAAATTTAGATATCATTTAGAAACTGGATTGGGAAATTTCATACAAATTGAAATAGGTAGGTCTTATTCAATCTAAAGAATTATTAAGTTATTTTATTTTTATTAAATAAATTCGACACTATTGTTTTTATGTAATTTATATTAGTCCAAGTGAGTACGTCTGCTAGTAAATTTTAATTTACCCTGTTTGGTCCAAATACAGTGTCACAAAGATATCTTTATTTTTTTTTATGTAGAGAAAAGGAAGTTTTCCTAGGTATTTTTTAAAATTTCAGAACAGTATCTTATCATTCAATTTTGTCGTGAAGCATTTTTCCACAAACAAAATTCCAAAGATGGTGGGGTTTGGTAAACGTAAGGGCCACTTTTGGTTTCCCGAATCGATTAAGGGGATCTTCTACTGTGAAGGCTGTTTTTTTCAGCTTTCTTTCGGAATTTTTTTTGAGGAATAATAGAAACACACACAGTTATAACTTTTATATCGAGTGTATTAATTATTGAACTTTGTTTACAAATTTTTGTAAAGCATAATAATAACAATAATTAGCTTTATAGCACTGGAATGATGACCATGTATAAAAAATGTTGACGGATGGCGCCCATGATTGACGATTGTTTATTCATCTGAAATTGAAAAATCAAATAGCATTTTAATATGTAGATCTATGGCTATCGCGTGAACTAGAATTAAATAAAAATATTCAAATTTGAACATTTGACAAAGCTTTTAAGAAAAAAGTCAATTCTTCGTATTTTTTTTTTTCAACCTTTTAAGCTAAAGAACAAGAAATTAGTAAAATATTTCAATTATCCTAGTTCACACGAAAACTAGAGGTGTATGAAAGATGTGTACGAAATTATAGCGAAATCGGTTGAAGACTTTTTGAGATATCGTGGGCGCCGCTTCAAGAAAATGCGTTTCGAGAAAAACGCGTTTGAAGTTCAAGTACGTATGACACAAAGATAATTTTACTTACCATTAATCTGCAATGCCTGGA